GGGGGGTGAGGCTCTCGGGAATTTTCACCGCCGGGGTTGCCCCTCCTGCCCTGGAGCGGCGCACGGACAATAATTTTCAAAGGAAAAAAAAGGAAAACCAACGAGCCGTCTCCGCCGTCTCCCATCCAACCGGGAAAAAAGGAGGAAAAAAAAAAAATATCCCGAAACTCCCACCCCACCTCCACCTCTTCCTCTCCTCTCTCTCTCCGGCTAAACTGTGGCCCGGTTCTGGGTGTCTCTCCCTGCCCTTAGCGGCCGTTCCCGGGCACCCAGGTTCATTGCAACAGCCCGACGTCTCGAAGGCCGAATTGAATCAACGTAGCCTGAGCAGGGAGGAGGGGAAAAAAAAGAAGGAAGGGGGAAAAAAAAAGCAGCAAAACTGCCCTAGAGATCGGTCGGCCGGTTCCTTTGTCTCCCTGTTCAGTCGCTGCCGAAACCCATGCACATCTGAGCTGCAAACAAAACCACTCTTGCATCTGTTCGCATGCAGTATTTACAATGTTTTGTGTAAGTCAATTGGATGGCAGAAAAAAAAAAAGCCATTGGCTCTGTGTTATTTAACACAGACTTCACTGGGCTCCGTTTTTGGTGGAAGCTTTATTTGCACTAAATGAATAATCTTAATTGCATCACTTTTGAATTAAAAATCAATGTTAATCAAGTTGGAAGTAGTAAATATCAGTTTTCATTGTGCCCGGGTAGAGGGTATTTTTCTTGTTTTGCAAATAAAAATACAAGTCAAATAACTTTAAAAGGGCATTATGTTCTGCTACAAATACAATTGAAACGGATTGTTTAGGAGCGGATCAGAAATGGTACAGAATTTTGCACTTAATTTCCTCAGTTATCATTTACAATAAGAACCTCTTGGCTTGACAGCCAAGTCTAAACAGTAGTAAATTAGTACAAATTTATACTGATTTTACTCTAATAATCGTAATAAAAGCTTATAGATTTGGCACTAATTACATAAATGCCTAATGATCTTGAAAATTACTCTGGTTAGAAATATATTACTAATCTAAACTTTGTTGTTGGCTGGCTTTGAAAAATCAGAACATTAGAAATGGTTCGCTTCACTTGTGCAAAGCACTTTAAATTGTTCAAGTAGTTTAACATATTCAAGAGGAAAATAAAAAGCGTTTAACTTTATTTACTGCTTTAAACTGAGTTTGTAGGCGCGCCGCACTTGGAAACTTTACCCGAAAAAGAACCAGAGCTTACGGGCTTTTACATCCCGGCCGGGGAGGCAG